AAAAGAAATGCGATTTTCAATGAGAAATCAAAAATAAGCTCCGAAGACAAAAATTCTTATCCTTGCTCGCTGCTACTCAATCCTTTTCCTTTTGTGATCGTCGCTATTTGTGGTAACTGAGTTTATCGCTTCTTACTAATCTGTTGATAGGCAAACAAAAACGATGAATTTGATGAATTAACGAAAAAAACCGAAATTTGATTAAAGGCCATCATGATTTATGATTGTAGGTTTCAGGTGAAGGAAAGATAAAAATTTTCGAGTTATGTCAAAGAGGTTGATGCCTCGATTTTTGTCATAGCCCTGCATCTTTCATGAGGCGTAGGATTTTTTTGGCATTTATCACAACATTTGGTGATTTGTATTTTATTAAAAAATGAGTCTGATAAATTTGCCAAAACTTTCCCATCCAACAAGAACTACCACGTCCTAAAAAATTTTATTTAACTTGCACTGAGTAAATTGCGGGAAGCGATGCTCATATCCTCATCAAATTCTGGAATAGTGTTGCTGCAATTGAATGTTCCATGTGCTATGAAAAATTTCATAATGCTTTGAATTCATTATTCTATTGTTGCCTCCCAAGTGTATAGGACCTGCATTAAAGATCTGGCAGAGATATACCATAGATATTGCCAAATGAAAGCGCTAAAACAGGTTATCCTGTGGCCAAAAAGAGAAAGTGTTAGGTCATTTCTGACCACGCTACTAGGATTGTTCAAAATTACTAAAATGGGAAAATAGTTTACATAGGTGTATTCATTACCTATCCATATTAATCGAACTTTCAGATCAGTAGATCCATATTTATTATAAGATAAGCAAACGTTCGTTATTTGGCGCTTTAAGATATTTTATTTGCAACTATCAAATAAATCAAATTTAGGTGAAAACAGTAAATTTTGTTCATTTAATCTTTTAAAAGTACCAATTTAATATTAAGTAAGGCAAATATATACAAGTAAATATATATATATATACATATATATAACTTAAAATGTGAAAGATTACGTGTGCTTTCAAGTGAAAAATGCTTTAATTGTGGTTGATTTGAATGTTGTCATTCGAGAAAATTGATGATTTTATAGGCAAATCAATCATTTCGCTATATCTTTATAAAAAATAGAAAGGTATAATTCCATAGCATTTTTATTTTAAGCAATTGGCCATCTTTGAATCGGAAAAATTTCCGGTTTTTTGCATTTTTATGACTGTTTGATAATATTTTTTGTAAGTTTCGAAATATATTGAAATATTCGGTGGTTGGGATTAAAGATTTTTCTCTTGATATATTCGAGTTTTTCTCCTACAGAGCCCAGTGAAATCATCGTATTCATTGACAAATGAAGATTGCTTTCGTTGAAAATATAAGCGATTTATTAGAATTATTATTTTTTTATCGATTTTAATATGAAAAAACATAAACATATTATGGCATAACTATAAACCTGAATTAGAATACTTGAAGATTTCCAAATAAATATGAAAATTTTCAGCAAAGAAGCTATTGATTTTATAAAAAAATTTCTTTCTATATTTTCAGATTCTTGCGCTTTTCCACCGTTTTTTATTTTTCATTATTTCAAAATTAAATTCAAATTTAAATTTATATATAAAGAAGACAATTTTAAAATTTAGGAAAAAAACATTTTCGGACGATAGAGATCATTTAACAGAAATCTCAAGTATCGAGCACAACTTCAACTCAACTGTACTCATGACTTGGGCTCATTCTCCATTCTCGAATTAAGTAAGATTGATTTTACATATATATGTACATATAAAGTACTATATGGTTATTTCAAATTAAAATGTTCTAAACATTATAATTTTAGGTTAAATTTGAACCCAACAAGATATAACGGGTTAAAACTATTAAATATAACTGCAAAACTAAACTAAGGCGCATGATTCGCACTATTAATTACTGGAATAAATTTCCAAATGACATAGTTTGTCATCCTTGGCTACTTTTAAAAAAAGATTAAATAATATAATATTATTAATATTAATAAGAGTGGTCAAATGCAGATAATTTCTTAATATCCATCCATGATACTATTTGAGAAGTTCACATTGTGAAGGTAGTTTGAAACCTTTACCATTTATCCTCCGATTATGTGCCAATAATACACTCAGTTCAACCCGAGTTATTTATAATGTAACTCCAATCTATTATATTATTTTTCTTTACATTGTTAACCTTTGCTCCTTTTGTATTGTATATCTCTTTTCAATCTCTTTTACTTAACTTTATTTTGTTGTTATTAATATAAGCACATGACGCTTATCGTCCTGCTTGGTTGCTTCAAATAAAGAAAAGGCAGTTCAATTCGCTTTTTATTTCCGCGATATTTTCTAAAATTTACTAAATTTAATTTATTTACTAAAATTATCATTTGTCCTTAAAATAATCAGCATTTCAGGTTTTTCTGATTGCACTGAGTACTAAAATGTAGCAGAGACCGTCGTAAAAGGTTTGCTTAGGTGTAAAATATATGGATAAACTTGTATTTCTGTTTATTGTTTGTTGATATGAGTATTTTATTACAATATAGCAAAGATCGAAATTTGAAACAAATAACAATAATATGAAATTCCATTCTTTTTATCCCAAAAGATTGAAATAAATAAGGTTAAAGTAAAGTAATAAAATATAAAGCACAAATGAAATAAAGAAATAAAAATCTTTAAAAGTAAAAAAAGGTGTTAGGAAAAGTCAAGTATAAAAATAAAAAGTATAAAGATAATAAAAGTATAAAGATTGGGTTGACATCGTTTTTCATATTTAATTATATCTTTGTCGCATCTTCATGGATCTGAAACATGGATACAATTTACCATTTGTTAGCAGATTTCCCTTAAAATATTTTGTGTATATTATTTGCAAGAATTAGTATTAAATTAACAGCATTTTATTTTGACTATAAGACCTATTTTTTCCAAAAATTGATTAATTAATTTTACTTTATAACTTCCAAGCTTAAAAATGAGTTCAGTTAAAGATAGGTAATTTTTATTTATAAAATTCAGGAAAAATATTCTTCAGCTGCGATTTCAGCACTGATAAAGTTGACATGGATCTCATTTTTTGTTGAAATTTGTGTAGATTTATGCATGATGTCATTTATGTATGGCCATTTCAACGACTATTTTATCTATGGCTTTTAAATTTCGTATAGCTCATGCATTAAATATTTTACGGAAGCCGAATCAGATATTGTTCTATAGGAGTAGGGAGCATAAGAATATGGCTGGTACATAAAGGTGTAAAATAAATAGGCCACAATCCAATGGATTTTTGATTGTTAAATGCCCTAAAAAGCTGAAGCCATTATAGGATAATGACCTTAATGCAACGCATAAAATTATTGAAGTTCGATATTCGCATAAAAGCCAATCACGCAGTGCCATTGCTCTATATTATTTTCATCTACGATTAAAATATGGGCAAATGGGCCTTTTTAAAAATCTATGAAATTCTTTTTTTTTGTTAACTTAAAAATAATTTTTTGATACCACATTTCTGGAAATTTTTTTCACTTTGGTTCATTTGATATAACTGGCATTAAAATTTTTCCAAAGTTTTTTATATAACTTGGAATTTATAGCGACAGACCACGTCTTTTTTTCAGTCAGTGAATATCAGTGAGCTACTTCCATTTCAACGATATACTCAAATCTTTATTACCTTCATTTTGGTGAATTTTCAATAAATTTCATTAATAGACTGATATTCACTAAATACTGGCCACAATCGAAAAAATATTCTACACTCCAAATTCGCTTACAAATAAAATTATTACAAATGAAATATGCGAAACAAGCATATCAAATTATCTTGTGTGTCCTAAGCCAATTTGCAATCTTAATTAATCTTTCTTAATTATTATAATTCTAATTTACAATGATATTTGATTCCCAGAGCTTGGTATAAATAAAGCTTTCATTAAAAAACATCGCTAATATGGGTGATACGCCTATATTTCTATCGCCCAGTTACTCTCTGGCAAAAATTTCAGATCATGCTAACCTAATTAGGAATGATCAGTACTACCCACTTATACTTGTATAATCATTTGAACAGTAAAAATTGAACAATAAAAATTAAATTCTATCATATAGAATTGCATTCAAATTATCTAATAGTGCAAAATTTATAATTAATGTAATTTATAATTAATAACATCTCTTTAAGTAATAATGATAAAACCGTGCTGATAATCACAGAAGTTTGTAATATAATAAGTAAGGTGCAAAGAATTTTTGCAAATTAAAATTTCATAAGCGGTCGGGCTTTTGCAATGATATTTTATATATATAATAAAATATAACTATACTTAGGCCGCGGTTTATTTAATTTGATTTATTTATTTGTTGATTAGTTTGTTTAATCTAAATTATTTGTCGAATTTCTGTTTTTCTATTTCTGTTTTTCTGTTTTTAGTAATTGTGAAAATAATATAAAAAATATCAAATCCATCAGTAATATTGAAATCAATATTAAAAGCTGAAGATAACTCATGAATTCCAAAAAAACAACTTTTGAATAATTTCCTTTGTTTTTTAATTTTTCTTATGATTGGACGATCGATTCACTATCTCTGCTCCATTTTCTCATATAAATATTTCTTCGTTTTCATTTTATTTTAGGCTATATCACCTTCGAGAAAAATATTCCATTACGGAATTCAATCAGTTCAAATCGATGTGTACCAAAATTTTCTACTATTATCACTTATTGTTATTTTCTTACTTCTTCAGATGCTTTTCACATTTATCTTAATGAATTTCGCTTTAGTATATTCTCAATGGTTTTCTACTGCAGGTATAATTTTCTTCATTCTGCCTGCAATCATTTGTAGTTGAATGAAATTCGAAATGCAATGCGACCTGCTGGGAACTACTAGTAGTTTGCGTCGAATCAGCAAATAAGAAAAAGCTTTGCTAATTTTTTGCGATTTTTTATTATTTTTCGTTGTAACTCAACTTGAAATAAAATGGTGGAAATTGCAGCATTTAAAAGCCGAGTTCCTGGTTCATGTAAAGATGATGAATTTGATTGTGGCCTAGGACGATGCATATCAATTGAAAAATTTCATGATGGGATTGTCGATTGTTTTGATCAAAGCGATGAATGTGGGTTTTTCTTTAAAATTTTCTTTTTCTTTCTCATATTTTCTACCAATTTTGCAAGCGGAAACTCACATACATAACAATATAACAACAAAAAAATATATAAATATCCATTTTAATCGTATTAGTAATTAATAACTTAATCAAGAAATAAACTGCACTAGATTTCATTACTGAGTAGAATTTATTTACTGCCTTCACATACCATTCGATTCAATTTATTTCACTGTAAAAAGAACTGACGCCAAAAAACTATGAAGAACGCAATATTTTCTTTTGTTATATTAATCCTCAATAGCTTTAGTTTGTTTTCCTGGAAACATAAAATGCGGATCATATTGTGTCGATATTTCTTACTCCAGCCAGTGCCTTGTGAATCCACGTAAGTTATATTTGACAGAATTTTATTAAGAAAATACTGAATTGGGTCATCGTTCAGCACTATCGTTTCAGCAGTCATTCAAAATTTAAAGGATGAACAAATACAAATTTTTTGAGAAACTAATCAAATATAATGTAATATTGAATATTATGGATAATCGAAAATATTTTTTTTTTTTGACAGACATAAACGAGTATTTATAAACGCTTTTGCATATTGAATGCGATTTTGTTATTTTGTTTAGTTTCTCAGTAAAGTCGACCATTCTAAATTTTTCAGCTTTAATTTAGAAAATTTTAGATAGACAGAAATCCAGAAATTCTGTTTTTTAGCAATAAACTGTAGCCCTTAAATTATTAATTCCTAAATTTCTGCTAATTTCTGAGGTCTTTTTTGTTTTTTTTTTCTTGAAGAAACATGTGGGATATTGAGAATAAAATTACCATTTGTTAAATTCATACGAAAATTTTCAGAATGCGATTCATCAGCGACTGCTCCGTCATTTTGCTCAGTGATAAGTGAGTCATATTAAAGTTTTTCTTATTTAGTTGACATAGCCAATAATAGAAACAAAAAGACAAATTTAGCATAAAAATAACATTGGTTGCTAGCATATGTTGTAGAAGAGAAACTGTGCTCGTTGAAGGATACAATACCCTGTAAGGGCTACGGTGAATGTGTTCTAAAAAAGTGGGTTATTCAAGGAAAGATAAATTGCCTTGATCGAAGTGATGGTGGTTAGTCTTATTTTTGCTAAACTATCACCAGAATTTCACATAAATTGAAAAAATAATTCCACTAAATGTTTATTACATTTTCAATATCAATCAATCGTAGATTCTTGAATTTTATTTAATTTTATTTATTTTAATTAATTAAATGAATTAAATTCTTTATTGCATTATCTTTTTCTGCAATATTTAATTCGTATATTCTAATATTCGTATTCGTAAATTCTTATATTCAAAAATTAAAAATTACGGAAGATTGATTGAGATTCTTATGATTCTTTTTAAATAAATTTAAGCATTTCTTTTTTTGTACTAAAAATTTTTTTTTTTAATTTCAGTGACTAATTGAGGCTTAAATCTAATCATTATTTATATTATGGTTAATTTTTAGAAGAATTAAATGAAGCACAATAAATTTCTTCAGATTTCGAATATGTTTCTGCCTTTATCCCGCAACCTGGTTTTCAAAGAAGTAAAATAATAGCAAAAATCAAGCAAGAAAGTGATCTATCGACAGTAACAACACATTCATCTAATTTGCCGGCAGCTATCCAGCTTAATTCGTCAATAGAAAATTCCTTGTGGATAAAACAATCCAGATCTCACGAATTAGGCGATTCTTCAACGATTACTATAGATTTGCTAGCTCCGAAAACATTTAATTTAACCAATAATCAAATTCATATTGCGAATCCATTTGATAATAATGGTAAAATCGCATTGCCAGAAATAAATAAATATACAGAAAGACAAGGAGAAATATCTAATGCTAGTTCTTCAAATTTTTTCGCTAATACACCATTTTCTGTGCTAATTCCTACAAATTCAAAAAATGTGATATTAGTCACACCGGTGACAGAAAGGATACCTTATTTCATAGCGACATCAAGTGCACAGAAAACTATTACAAAAACGCCTCTCACCATATCATCGACTGATGATTTAAAAACAAAAGCAACACGTTCGCATCATACAGTGGAGAATTTAAAAACCCAAAGTTTGTTGGGAAATTTTTTTACAGTTTCGGACACATCTTTGCAAACAACCTTACAATTTGAACTCCATGATAAATTATTAACGATGTTAACTACTGAAGTAACAACCAAACTAACGCAACCTTCAACAACAATATCATATCAAATTCAATGTGCTAAAACGAAAATAGAAACTGCAAGAAATTTACATCCAAATCCATTTTGTTCATGTAGTCCAGGCAAAATGCTTATAAATAATGATTGTCAAGGTTTCTTTTTATTTCATTTGAAAACTTTTTGGCGTTTTAATTCTTTCTTATTTTTTTGAATAAGCGTTTTTAGTTTTACGTGGATTTGATAGAATAAAAATATCAATTTTTTTCATCTTTTTCTAACCATTTCTGGTTTGCTTGACAAGGCTGACTATTAGAATATGAAATATTCATCAAAAGATATTTGGAGATAGAATTATCGGTTGGCATGTAGCACTAGAAAGTAGTGCGAGCATTCAAGAGTGGTGTAGATCAGTCCAGAGCATCGTATCTCAGATTTTGTATATTGATTAGTACTTTTTGCTGATTATGCCGAAATGCAAATAATGCTAAACAATGACTATAGCGAACTGCTTTACAGTTACCTCTGGAATAGCTAATGAATACTGGGGCCATTTAAAGATGTTTCTGAAAATTGTAAACCTGTGGTAAGATAATTGAAGACCACGGTCGACAACAGCGAAAGTCGGACTCTTGATCAATATAAATAAAACGAAAATCTTTTCGTCTTATATACCAGAACCTGATAAAGTACCTATTTTCATCATTCCATTCTTGCCAAAGATCTTAATACCAAAGATCTTGGATCCCAGATGCCAAACGAAAAATGAAAAATGAAATTATAATTATTATAATCCGGATAACAATAGGTTTACAAGCCTTTATGTAAGTCTTCACGAAATCACCATTAAAATGAAAAAATTGCGAAACTATGTCTTATGTGGCTGCAATCCTCTCGGTCTTGCTACGGGACATGGCCAATGGGAGTGGAGGATATTAAAAGGATATATCTATTTTTGGCCACTCATTTTACATATTGTGGGTTCGCCGAGTCGATAAAATCTTACATGATCATCACCTTCGTTCAAATACCACCTGTATCTCTATCCCCAAGTGACTCTATGGTGAAGGGTCAGGTTTCTTTGATGCGACGTCCGCGTCTCTCGACGCGTTATTTCTGACACGGTGGTATAGCAAAGCCAGCCTAACCAGTAATGGTGTGAGGTGCTAGAAGAAAAAGAAAAAGAAGAAACACCTTGTATCAACATCACCATCACAAAGCTTTCGCTGATTAAGGCACATTCTTCGTCTCCTACCATAGTTAGGAAAGTAGACCAGTAGCAATATATGGAATTAGATGGTTGAAAAAGAAATGGCTTCTATTATTGTTCCGAAGATTTCATATCGACTTTATTAGTATAAATTGGATTAAATAGGTTGAATTTTTATCAAAATAATATTTAATTTTTAATTTAATGTTGTCACAGATGGCTTCGGATCGAATAACTTGAAAGGATCTTATCCTTGTAACCAGTGAAGCCACTCTAACCAAATGAGAGCTGTTTGAAGTCTAGGCTGTTTGGTGATTCTTCTTGCATTTACGAGATTCATATAAGTGCTTAACGTGAAAAAAAAAGTCAAGAGATATCCTTTATGATCTTCGAAGCAATGGTTACTTATAAGGAAGAATTATTTTATTACTTTCTGAATAAAATTATACTGAGTAATTTTGCCAGCGAGCGGCCAGTCTCTCAATTAAATTTGATTTCTAATGAGTGATTATTTTTTTTAATTTTTTTTGCGCTTATTTCCTCTTACTATATATTAATATTTCTCAATTTCTTAAATCACCAATATTAAGATATTCAATTCAAATATTAAAATATTAAAAAAATGAAAAGTTTAGCATCGCTTCTTATTTTTTCTTTTCCTTTCCTTTTAATTTTCTCTCATTTTTTTTAATTTTTTGCTTTTCTGCGATAGGAATATACTTATTATGAAATCTAAAATATGAAATAGAAATATACCTGTGATAACGGGTGGCTTCAAAAGACTCAATTGTACTTCTTATCACAAGTGATTATATGGTGAAAGAATCTGGTTACCTGAACACGGCTTCCTTCGACTCATATATTTATTGCATATACGATAAGTATACAAACAAACCCTAGTAAAGCGAATCCATAGAAAACAAGCTTAAAAAAGAATACGGACATAGACCTGTTGAAAGAAAATACTTGTAGGTTATGTGTACATATGGCAAAATGTCCGTATAGCGTAAAATGTCAGAATTCAGATACTTACGCCCTTTCCTCACATATTGTATATCGTTTATCTGTCGGAAATTCGTCTTTATTATTTCGGCAATTAGCTGTAATTGCCGAAGAGACGTTTAGTTATATTCTGACGTTGCAGATAATTCGGGATACTCAATTCAAAGGAAAAATTCAAAGAAATTTCAAAGGAAAGATTTGCAATGCCTTGGTCATTGGTAATTTCTGCGGTGTGTGTGCTTCTACACAGATTCTCGAGATAAAGATAGGTTCTTTGCGAAACTTCTACTGCTAAAAGCAATCTCTCCCCAAAGATGATAGAGTCATGAGAGATTGGAATTCACGCATAGGTCATGAAGTGGATTCCGCGGTTAGCAAATACGCCTTGACGCGATGTGCCAATGTAGAATGTTTTCTTCGTTTTACCGAAAAGTATTTTGGAATTTTTGCTACAAGCATCGAAGAGGACCCATAGAATTCTTCAGATAATCAACGCCCTAACAGACTCAATTATATCCTGGTCAATCGTCACTGGAAGAGCCTTATATTAAAGTTTTCAAACTGGAACAAAAATGGCAGCTCCGTGGCAATGAAAATACTATGAATCAGAGCGTTCGGAACCAAAATCAGCATGAAGGTTGACAATAGCGACAAAATCCTCTCAAAATTCATCCCTCAAAATTTTTTGAATGTCTTAACCTAAAAATTTTCAGGACAATAAGCACATTTCAAACCGAAACACTTATCGAAAACCCATCTCATTTATGTAAATATTGATGGCTCCTCTGGAACATCTAATGAATATTGGTCCCATCTAAAGGGAAAGTTCCAGAAAGTTTGCTAAATCTGTTAAGATATACCACTTGAAAGTTAAAGGAAGTAACGATCTAATTATCTGAAAAATCCGCCACGCACCTTTCAGATCTTGGTTATTCGGTGCTTCAAAGGCATTCAGAAAGAGCATGGCAGGTTAGAAACTGTTGTTGGAGAGATATGGTTCTGATTATATATACAGCTGGAAGAACATGCGGTAATAAGAAATGCGGTAATACTACTTTGCCCTGTTCATAAAGCAGTAGTAATTTGGGAAACCAGAGATAAAATAATTCGAGATAATAACATCTATTAGATTCTCAAAGACGACCATGTACGGTGGAGCGAATTCTGTGAGATTAAACAATCTTGTGCCATTCGCCAACTTAGGCATAGTTGAAACATTTATCAAGACACATATTTGCAGCTTATAAACCGCCAGTGGAACAAGAAATATTCCCAGTTATTTAAAAGCTTAAAACTGATAAAACTTCTGGAGAAGATGGTCTCTGGGCTAACAATTTCAAAGGTTATCTAACTCTTTCATCTTCAATATATGAGCTGTTAGATGCTGGGAAATTTTCTCTTCCCTTTTGCTGAATAGGCTTGTGAAAGAGATAGTAGGAAGCAGATTTAGATCAGAGCGGGTGTTCACGCTATGAAGTGTTAGATTATCACTACAAATATACAGAACTCATTTGTTTTAGTGATTTTGCCGCCGCTTTTTGATTCAGTTGATAGAACGGCGCTCTGAATGAGATGGAATCTGATGTTCATTCTACTCACAAAAACATTTTACCAAGGTATCTCGGCATAGATTTGTATTTACTAATAGATCCTTTCGAAATGGAACTGATCTTTATCAGGATAACGCCCTTTCCACTATTTACTTATCTGATTATGGACATCAGCATTCAAAAAAATTGAACCAAAATGACAGATCTTGAATAATGAAACCCTTCTTGTTGAAAGCTATAAGGAAGTGCAAGAGATGATAGACAATAATGTCTCAACAATCGGACTCATTAATACAATTAAAAAGAATGTTTTTTAGTCTTAAAGAGCATTTTTGTTAATTCGTCACCGCTTGAGGAAATGGAAAATTTCATTTAATTTAGGTCCTTCTATTACCAGAAACCAAGTGAAAGACGAAATTGCAGCGCAACAGCGCAACTTGCAATATGTTCTTTCGTCTGGCGAAACCGCTATGAAATTGGTGCGAAATCACCATTAAAACGAAGGCTCGCATATCTCCGGCAGCCTATCGTTTTGTTGCATAGTTATGAAATATGGCCAATGAGAATAAAAGATTAAGAATCTACTTTTGATCATGCATATGTATGATAGATCTAATATGACCGGCTAAAAAAAATCTCACATGCATTTTTGCTCAATTATCAATTATCAGCTACATAATATAGCGTCGTCGCTTGTTGGACCATATTGTTTTTCACCGGCAGGATTTGATTCTCGCCATTTGGATATTCAAGAGAAGCACCAATCAAGACCATCGTCTCGATATATGGTCTTAAAGACCGGAAAAAGGAGTAAATTATGTTGGTATATGACATCGAACCGAGCGGCCCAAGCCTACCTTTAAAGCCAATTGTATCAATTAACCAGTAATGGTGGAAACTTTTAGAATAGGATGAAAACATATACACTAAATGTTTTTGGGATATTGAAATAGAAACAAATAATTATTTGTTGTGAAATTATGAAAGTTTCTGTAGTGGATTCGTAAATTTCTTGTGCGAATTCAGTTATAAAAGGATTTGATGAAAATTTAGGTACAGTTTTTCGCGAATTCTATGAAAATAAATAATTTATAAATGATAAAAAACTTTACCAAAACTGTGAGAAATTATTTTAAATAATTTTAGAAATTAATTTAACCACGTTCGGTGTAAGCATTGGTGATGTATGTGAAGGGATTCCATCAGAGGACGTCGATCGTCCTTATTTAGCCATATATGAGGTAATTATTATGAAATATATTTCCTTTTGCTTTTCTCTATTACTGCCTTTGCCTTGCTCCTAATGAAGCCGAATTTTCCAAATTTGCACTTTTCAGTTATTCAAGCAAATTTTTCAGTTAACTTCACATAATTTGCCGTATAGTTTTTGTGTTCGTCATAACAATGGGGAAAAATTGATAGTTAACACGAACTGTGGAGCATGCAATTTAACCGATTTCATCGATTCTCTCCAACAAAAGCTAATAAATTCGACAACCATTTTCGGTGATTTTTTAAATTTTAAATTTTTGAAATGAAATGCTATATAAATTTACATCATAATTAGCCTGGTTAGTATTTGTGCCAATGTTCGAAAACAACAAGGTAGTCTCAATTACACATCCTAAAAATTAATAACAATAATAATATCAATAATTACAATAAAATTATGATAAAATTATTTTATAATAAAATTAATAATAATCGCCAAAAATTACATATATTCTTCTGAAGGATGCCAGTTAATATTAACGAAACATATAAAGGAAATATAATAGATAGGAGCGCAGAAAACCAGTGGGAGCAGCAATAGGACTTAACAAATATCAATCAGTGTAGGATTCGAAAGTGTTAATGAATATCGAGAATAAGAGAGTGCGGTTGAAAGAGATCGTTCTATAGCATGTTTTAATAAGATGACCTTTATCATGAAAAAGCTGAGAGAAAGGAAAAAACTTCAATTAAAAGCGTTAAAATTTTCGAAAACTATAAATTTCTTATGAAATTACAGAAAATTAAGTGGGCAAATTAAATTAATATTAATAATATCAATATTAATATAATATTAATATTAATATTAAATTAATATTAATATTATGAATACTGCTTTGTTCGTTTTGCTTATGCAAATGTTTTAAACGTCGACTTGGAAAATTAATACGGACAACATTTAGAGATTGAAAACTCAGCATGCAGCGATCCAACATTGAACGATTGCGATGAAAATGCTAACTGCTTGCCAGATGGACTATATTATAAATGTTCATGTAAAATAGGTTCAAATGACACTTCAAATGGAAGAGGTCGAAGATGTATATATCCATCATCGTATGTTTATTTTCGTTGGATTTAACTAGATGATATTTTTCTTTATTAATTTAAATAATTGAGTGCTGATAGGCATTGTCAAAAATATTTCATTAAATCATTTGAAAGAATCGACCGTTTATCGAAGTTCTTTGGATATATGATTTCCTCTTATATTAATAAAACTAAATTTAAAACTTGCAAACCAAACCAAATGCAAACCAAAAGAAGCAAAATGCCGACTTTCAGAATAATAAAAATTAAAGAAAAAATGAAATTGCAAAGTTTCATTTACAAAGTTTTAGCTGTATGAAAATCTTTGGCTCATGCATAAATTTCTGGATTTTGCTCGTTCTTTTATTACTATTAATATTTTTATTATTACTGCTTTGTTTATTTTGCTTATGCAAACGCTTTAAACGTCGAATTGGAAAGTTTTGTGAAGATAAGGTGAGCATTTCAGTTCAGATTTAGATTTTTCATAGCTTTTGGTTGTGAAAAAAGTAGGAGATTATGAACACAAGATATGAACAAAAGGAACAAAAAGATTGTTTTTAATAAACTATAAAGATTATTAAGATTAGATTATTTAGCCGTAAAAATTGCCATTATTATTTATAAGTGATATTCCTGCAAATAAATGAAATTAATCTAATGTCTTATTTAACAAATGCCTAATAAACAGGGTCCTTCAAAATTCAAATGAAAATGTTATGATAATTTTTTATATTGCAAAAATCCTAGATGATAAATGGTTTGAGGTTTTTCCGTTGATCTATAGATTCTAAATGAGGCAACCAAAAGAATTGGTACATATAAAAGCTATAAAATTTTGCCATAATTTTTATATTATCTAAAAATTTTCAGATGAATTTAGTTTCATCTGATGTTGAATCGAACAAAGGTATCATAAAAGATGATCCGAAAGTAATGAAAGAAACTATACAATGTCATAGTATGGATGTTTGGAGTTGCACTACAGATAAAACCGTTAACAACATGTTTTTCCCACAACAGATCGATGGCTCAATAAAAACTGCAATTTTCGCCGATAAAAAAATGGAAGGCATAGGGAAAGAAGAAATAATCGCTAATGAAATGATTACAGCCCGTCAACCCAGTCTAAAAAGTATATTTCTGAAAGAAAACAATCAAAGAAATTCTCCTGATGAGGAAATATCGAAACCAAAATCTCTTATGATACAATTAAGTGAGGAAAAAGTGCAATCTGAATGTAGTCCAATGAAATCACCATCATCACATTCCATGATTACAACAGTAAGAAATTAAAATTTTTTGTCATCTTTTTTTCATCAATATATTATTCTATTAAATTATTCTAATCTTCTATCGTGTTCTTCTTATGGCTCTTCATACGTTCGTTTATATTCTTCGTAATACATGTCATCCAAATACATGATAAATAAGCACAAAAGCCTAAGGACAATGAAACAATAAAGTTGTTACTAGTAAACTCATTTCTTTATCTTCGACTCTATTTATCTGATCTTACTACTAAGAAATTGCACATTTAATATAATATAATATATAAAATTGCACAGTTAATATAATATTTTTTTTATTCCCTGGCTCATGCACAACTCATTTCTTTTCCCATCATGATTAATGTATATATCATTAGCAATATATCATTCGACCATCTTGCTAGAATATGTAATCATTTTTTCACAAAACAATATTAGAAATATTGAATGATGTTTGAAAGTATTTTTGAAAATATGTTTAAAAATACTTTTTAGACATTGAATATTTTTTAAATTTGCTTGATTTTTAAGGTTTTGCCTGAAGAAATCCACGAGAAAATACTAGAAGTAGTGGAAAATAATGCGAAACCTTCGGAAATACTAGATGTGAATGAAACTAATTCCCAAAAATCTAGTCCTACAATATGGGAATTGTACGTTATAAAAGGAAATGAATCCATATATGGTATCTTTTAATGCGTTTAAAAAAAAAAACTTTGGCTGATAATGTATGGTTCAAAATTGGTAAGACCTAAATTCTATAAAAATTAAAAATTAAAGAAGGACCACAATAATCCAGCAAGACAAAATTAAATAGGCAAATTGAACATTGACTGTGTTAATTTTGAAAGATTAAGAAAAATTTACGTTATTTTCATTGGATTTTAGACCTTAGGTTTTGAGCCAAGATTTATCATAAAATGTTAATGTCTTTGTATTGTCCGTAATATATGCATAGCTGCTGGCACCAGAACTGGATTTCTTTTTATTTAAAGCATCTTTTTTGCAAAACAGCAAGTATAACAGGCTTTAAAAATATTTTTTTTGCAAATAAATGCGAGCAACAGGGAAAATGTATGTTAATGTATGTAAGTATAACAGGCTGTATGTAAAATTAGGACTGATGGATCTTATACCAAGATTGTTGGTTGACATCGAATATTCGAAATTGCAGTTGGCTATTCCATTGAATGGAAAAAAGATAGTGCGTAAATTACCAATGACATTGTTGAGACAATAGAGAATCAATGATTTACCTTACAGAAGGAAATTCTAAACCATTTAAGAAATCCGGGTGATGCTCTGCCTTCTATTTTATTACCAAGTGATTCTCTGCCAAAAATTTTTGACCGTATTGACATAGCGAGTTAAGTGAATCCTAACAGAAAAGATAACAACATACCATTTGTTTATTTAGTAAAAAAGCTTTTAATTAATGAGTGATTACTTACATAATTTTAGAAGAACAGAATAGCGATTATTCATTAGAAATGATGGTTGACGCTCGTGAAGGACAGCGAAAGCTTGATGAAATTTCGAAAAATTCTGTAGATTCAAATGATGACGAAATTCTACCACTGAACAAAAAAACTGAAGTAGCACCAAAAGTTGATCAGTTTCGAACAGCAAAGGATCAACAAAAACTGTATGAAAGCTATGCTAAAGACAATAATAAAAGTTTAAAACTAACTGAAAAAGGAAAGATTTCAGAGAGAAAAGAAGGTAAACAGAATTTTATTAACATTAGCAAATCTACTTCGGTAACAAATGAAAATTCTGACCTCGATATGGAGTTTTCTTCTAATGAAAAGCCTCGACAATGCGAAAAGGAAAAGGGTAGCACCAAAGATGATGAACGTCCCACAACAGCCTCAGAATTTGCTAAAACTGTTGATCTATATTTGCAAATTCAAGAAGTAAAATCTCATTTTCAAAAATGTTTGAGTGAAGAAAGAGCTAAACTAAAAAATTCGACCGAAAATATATTTAAACCCATAGAATCTATTGATTTAAACGAATCTGGAACAAAAATAATTGGTAATTTGTCAGAACGTAATGGTCATTCTACTGTTAATCGACGTCAAGCTCTGGTATTCCGAAATTCTGGTGTTGATTTCGATCTGTATACTGGATACCGATCAGATAAGAATTTTCTCAGTGCAAACCACCAAAACAATAATGATAACACTATTCGAAAAAAGTTTCGTCGGAAACTCTCATGTATTTCAGAAAAGAGTGTTGAGCATTTAAATGAAAACAAAGAGGTGTTGCCGACTTCAACGTCTTGCCCATCTACTACTCGTTGTAGCGCTAAAAAAGTTAGACACTTTAGACGTAAACCTCTCCCTAACCAATTCCTCGAGAATATCAATTTCAAGAATATATCAGATGTGCGGAGAAAACAAGGTAAAAAAGAGGAAAAGAATTATGTATGCGCTGAAAGAAATTATCATCGAAAACAATGTCAGGAAAACAGAAATGATTTTGATAAAAAACCACCGACTTCTGGATCCACTTCTCTTAACGCCAGTAAGATGGCTTTCAATGAAGTATACAATACAGCTAGAAAATATTCTAAGGAAATGCGCAACACTGAATATTTATCCAACACTGTTAGAAAAAATAGTCTAAATAGAGAGTTAGCTGATTTCATTAATTTGCATGTTAAGAGAAGGCCGCCATGGGACTCATCACCACTTAGAGAGAATGAATTGGATAGGATCGCACCTATCAGAACATTTTTAAACCTTCCAGGATCATCAAACAGTCGACCAGTGAAAACCTTTTCAAGAGTTACGCGTTCCCTTGTTAACTCGCCTAAACATAGGTCTTTAAGTTTGACGAAACCAGGAAAGTCATCATCATTGCTTAATTTTGCTGCTGGAAAATCAGGCCTTCTATTTACACAGCGACCTCCATCTATATCAAATCTAGACCCATTAATTAAAGAAAATCTTTGGTGGGGTCATAAATCTGCTATTTCTTAGGTCAACGATGATTTTGCAATATATTCTGAGAATTCATGCTTGTATAATATTAAAAAAATGGTGCTTTTAACGTACATTGATAAATTGAAAAATGACGAAAAAATTGAAAATCATGATTCGTATCATGAATCATGATACGATTCGTCGCAATTTACATTTATTTGTATGCATTTATCCATTCCGAAAAATGGAATTGAACGGGTTTTTTGTCAGCTCTTAATTATTTTAATTATTTTGTTACATTATTTTATTTCTAATTTTATTATCTCACTTTCATTTGTTGGAATTTTTTCAAAATTTATTTCACTTAACTTTGCAAGCATAATGAAAAGAAATGATAAGTCGAAAATGCAGATAATTTGCAGTGCTTTCGATTTTATTTTTTTTTCCGACTTTCCCTGAATATTTTTCTGGAACAGTTTGGACAATGGCTTAGGATATACGAAAAAGACCGCTCTCGCTATTTTCTTTTTCGCTATTTTCTCGCTATTTTCCTACTTTTTCTTAAATGATCATTCTAAATTGAATATCGTTTGAGCGGTTGCATTTATTCATTTATTTGTTATTATTTTATAATTTTTATTGTTATTTGATCGTAGCTTTGAATTCAATGTAAATATTTATATAAATATTTATTATGCATGTAATAAATTTTTTATCTACGGTGGTTTTTTCCTTTAATTTTATTTTTTTTGTCCCAATTTCTACATTTCAGATTCAAAATAAAAATTTGGAATTGGAAAAAATATGAATGAAGAAAATTAGGTATTTTTTTAAAATTTTTTTAGAAAAAGAACAAGAAATAAATTGCGGAAACTATTTGGAACTGTTATTTATATTGAAAATTGAATTTAAAAAATCATTTTGTAAAATTTAATCATATAAATATTAATATGGAAAAATCGCTCAAATCGATGAAAGAATTACGAGAAAAATATGAAAAAAGAAATTAATAAAGAAAAAAATGATTTAAGTCTAAAAATGATTTAAGAAACTAGAATAGATTTTATTAGTACTTCTGGAACGCACCATCCTCTATTCGATCCATTATTTATGCGAACACATCGATCTGTTGTCCCACATATTCGCTAAAAGTTTAAATCCGAGTTATCCAAAAGCTGCTTGTTTTTAAATATTCTATTTGTATTTTGGCTTTTTTTGGATTGAAAATTTAATATGCAAATGATTTACTTAAATGACTGCTAACCTTAAACAAAGTGGGATCACATGATTTCAAAGTTAACCCATTTTCGCGGAATTCATGCAAGAAGTTTCGTTCTCTATAATTTAATGACTGATTATAATTTCGATTGTCATCTGAAAAAAATTTTTAATCAAAGTATAGAAGAACGATAAGTAAATTTCATTTTTGCTAAACGTGAATAAAATAAACGTGAAAACGTGAATTATTTTCCAAGTTACGAACCTTTGTTTTTAACACTGGTGATTCTTAGCAAAGCCTGTCATTGAAAAATCCGAGTGGTCCTAAGGACTTACCTGAGGCTTCTATCTTCTATTCCCAAATAATTTATTTCATGGCAAATTTTTCTCATCATATTAACAACTAGTGGAGTGTGGAGTGGCCTAACCAGTGATGTGTACTAACCGGTTCTTTATCTTCTTAACTCCTAGAATTTTTTCAATTGTATTTTTCTCATTTTTTCTTTTCCTTTTCTTTGAATATATTTTTGCATTATGCTGATATCGATGTTTTTCAATCTATCGAATTTTCGTTTTTCTCAAAAAATGCCATCTATTCGTCTTCATAAACTGAGAAATATTCATGCATTTATACTGCATTAAAATTAAGAATTCTAATATAGAAAAGAAGTGGCCCACATTGCATCCATAAATCGGAAACCAATCGACAGATTGTGATGAAAATTAATGAAGAACTTGTAAATAGTTTACCTTCTGCAATAATATCAAAGATTTCGACTGGATAGTTGATATTCACATTGGCGCGAGTTTTCGGAACAATCCGAATATAATGCCTCGTTGATCGTTTAAGGTTATTTAGCACAACAAAGTTCTGAAAATGGCTTTCGATAATGAAGGATATTTTGTGAAATTTTAGGTTTAATTTGACTAATATATTGAATTGGACGATATATTATATTAAATAATATACTAATATATACTAATAACATATACCGACTAATAGTTAAATTATTATGTGCTTGAGAAGCGGGATAATTACTCAAAATCCATCAAGGGAGGCGAGAGCCTATGCATTTTGCAAGCGTGATGATGTGCTGGCTGTAGCTACTTGGAACGTTTATGAATGTTAAAAGTCAAGCGATCACTTTCCACACCCTCTCTAAATACCGCGTAGATGTGGCCTATTTGTTGGAAGTCTGTCTTCCTTATGTCTGCTCCCGAGTAAACCTGGTTCTGAGCAAAGATATTGACTATATCACAGTGGTGTCTCGTATAACTTGGGGCGAATTGGTGTCATGTCTGAAAAGGCTCGATCTGCTCTTATTGAATGGAAACCATTAAATGATCGTATTGGGTACATGCATTTCAAAGGAAAGGAAAGTTCTGCAATATTTCTGTCATCAATGTATATACTCCAACTTCATGCGCAGATGACCGCAAAAAGGATAACTTCTATGCGGAGCTTGAACTATTAACAACGTCTCTGCAGATAAATGACATGGTCATAAACGGGGAGGACTGGAATGTGTGCGCATACTCATGTTGCAACCATGATAAACTAGGTAGTTGGCAAATGTGGCATCGGGATCCAATGCGCCAATGGAGAACGCCTTCTTCGTTTTGCGGAATAGCACCAGCTGTTTGTTACTAATACATGCTTTAGGGTTCGGAGAAGACATATAGTTACGTAGAACTCTTCGATTAACCAATATTCCAATCAGATTGACTATATATTAATCAGTCACATCTGGAAGAGTTCTACATTGGCAGTCGTTCTTATCGGGGCGCTTAAACTGATAACCGTCATGGACCAGATCATGTTGTGGTTTGAGCCAAGATTCACATTAAATTAGCCAACAAGTCGAAACAAACAACGTATCTTTTCAATTATCTCAAATTAAAAGATCCGAGAACAATAAGCATATTTCAAACCGAATTATTGAAACACCTCAGTGCAATGAACGTCAATGATATCTCGGGAACGGTAGATAAATACTGATCTCAACCAAAGACATACCTATAAGAGTCAGCCACTTCTACATTAGGGTATATTAGTAGAAAGTGTGCTAGTTGGGTATCGGAAGCAAATGACCAATTGTCTGAAAAAGCTGCCAATACTTGAACATCAGAAAATTCTGATTATCGGGTGCTTCGAAGAATTATAACGGACAGCAGCATGAAGAGATAGAAATCGCTATTGCAGCGATTGGCTTTGAAAATGACTGCTCGATTAGGTGATAATAGGAAACTGTTTCGCCTTCTTCACAAAGAAACTATAAGAAAGAGCCAGAAATGATACGAGATATTAATGGGGCGCTTGTTAAGACTATTAAGGATCGCTTCATAAGATGGAAGGAAATTTTTAAGGTTCAAACTTAACTACGATGTGCGATCCCTTATCTCGGACATAACTGATTCGCTCGTCGAGCCTTACCTTTGCAACTGTGAACCACTCAGAAGAAGAAAAAATTTCTGTAATCCATAAACTTAAGAGCAATAAAATTCAAATGTTGTCCATTATCGTTCATAACTCACCTTCAACAAATGTTCTCTGGCAAAAGGAAATAGTACCAAAAGACTGGAGGAAAGCAATCAATTTCTAAGAAAGATAACGAGATGTACGGCGATAATTACAGAGGAAAATCAGCCCACTAGATATCTCTGGAAATATATTCTTCCCTTTTACTCAATAAACTCATGACAACACGAGATAGCAGATTCTTTTAAGCTATATCCAGACCAGGACGCAGCTGCGCTGACCTTAACGCTAGGAAAGGTGCTGGAACATCGCTTTAAATGCCAACAACCCACCGTCACTTGCTTCATCAATTTTACAGCTGACTTCGACTCGCTTGATAGAGCAACGTTCTGGAAAGTCCTAGAGAAGATCACTAGGTCACTAGGCTTATAAAGGGGCATTTTATCAGCATACCCTGGCACAGCTTTTTGTATATGGGGAACTGACAGACTTCTTCGAAATAAGAACTGGTGTCCATCAGGACTGAGTGCTTTCCCCTACAGTATTCATATATGCTATAGATAATGGGCATCGCTTGTTGGCACTCAAGAGATGTGCAAATCAGTCCAGAGCATGGTACTGCAGACCTTGAATATGCTGATGATATAGTCCTTTTTGCTGGCAGTTATAAGGAAATGCAAATATGTGTCAACCGAGAATTGTACTCAAAATCAATGTAAAAAAATGCAGATTGTCTGAAGTAGTCCAAAATATAGTGGCAGAATGTAAAATGCAAGCAAGAAATACACTAAAAGGCATAACCCAAGTAGTTGGCACCATATACAGGAATATCTGCTCGATATATGGCTTGGAGCCTTGTAAGACTAAATAGATTTCTTAAAAAAAATTGTAAAGCGAAGATTCTGTGGGACTTCTCCATCCAGAGAGAAAAACTGGTCAATCAACCAGATATCGTAGTAATAGACAAGAATCAGAATCAGCACTGGTGATAGATATAGCAATACCAAGTGGCAAGAACGTCAGAAAAAAGGAATGTGAGAAATACGACGAGCTAAAAGAACAATTAGAGATGTGAAAAATAAAAGTAATTCCAGCGATAATTGGAGCACCTGGAACTGTGACTCTTAAACGAGAAAAACGGCTTTGGAGATTCTAGGAACAGCATCAGAGATCTCTGTCCAGAAGAGTACCATTAGGAACAGCCAAGGTACTGTGCATCTCAATCTCCCAGGCCTCTGACGATCCGAGGCTGAGGATGATCATGACCGAGGTGATAAAAGTTTTTAGACGAAATTACTTGATCGGCATTATATATGTCCATTCGATTCCACTGTTGCAACGGCAGTTCTTGCCGATCAGTGTAGTAAACGGTCGAACCTAAAAAATTAACATTAGAACAGGATCAATTTTTACGCTGAAAATAACATTCAATTTTTCACAATGTTTTGTCGATTAATCAAAATGTGCAGCTAGTTGTGCATTCTTGGAATTTATTATTTCGCTTATATATGAAAATAATGGGTCATTAAATAATTCATACCGATTTTAATCAAAATTTTCAAAAAATTACCAAAAAAGTTAGGTAATTAATAGTTTTCAATAGCCTTTTCTCGCCTGGCAATTATTTCACGATTTTCTTTTTGTAAGGAAGCTTCTTTGGATTTGAAATATTCTTCAAAGTTGTTTTTTACATTATCAAAAGAATGGAATTTCTTTTTATTAAATAGTTACAGAAGCAATGGAAATCAGAAAGACGATGACATGGCATTAGGGTTCATAAGACAGAGACAATTTTGCAACCAAATTCTTTGATTTTTTGGCATCTATTGTTGACGCCTGGAGTTTTCTGTTGTCACTTTGGAGTAATATACCTTTCAGCTATTGAATTTGCTCTTAAGGAAGGAAGAGGTGCTTACAGTGGACATTAAATATGATACTTTGAGTCAATGAATGAATTATTTCTCCACCACTGATATAGTAGCATTTTTCTGCCATGAATGTTGGCTTTATCGGTTGCCATTTATATTTCTTCTGCTGATAATCATTGGAATTTATGATTATCGTAGACTATTTTTCATAGCCATCAATTCCGTCCAATAAAGGTTGCCTTTTTTGACTAGAAACAAGCGAAGCATATATCGAAGCATATTCTTTGGTAAGTTGAACACTCTTTGGTAAGTTAAACACTAGTCTTATTCAATTTCTCGGTGGTTCGAAGATGGCTCGATATTTTTCTGTCGTAACCTGTTTTTTACCGATTTCATCCGATATTTGACATTGATCAGTTTCTGCCGTGGAGCGCAGAGAGTCATAATCAGATCCTTGTATTATAAACTGAAAACACCACTTCAACATTTCGAAAATCACATATCCACTGTTTCCAGTAACTTCGTATCTAATTTGTTGCCATTTTTATTATTTATTTGTTGAAATCAAAGAGCATGTAATATCGCAAATATTCCTCAGATAGTACTTCACTTTCTATTGCTGAACCGCTGGACAAATTTTTTACCATATTTAATTAAATGGAGCAAATAATATCATTCTACTATATAAACGTGAGAAATCACCTGTGTTTTACTTTTAGAGCAATTAACTGAGAATTCAAAAAACGACTTTAAGAAACTTATTAAGTGGTAAAAAATCCTCACCAATAACATAACTTCTGATATTCCATGGATAAGTCCAGGAAACATTAACCCGTCCAAACCCAATATTTTGATACTCCAGCACACTTGCTTTAGCCATTTCCATTAAATTAGGGTATTCTTAAATATAACAAGGTATTTGAAAGCTTTTTGGTTCAAATATAGGTGAGTCGAAAATTGTTTCTAACAAACCATTCGTGATTTTGTGAGATTTTAATCAATTTAATCGTTCATTCATTCACTCATTCATTCAACAATAAAATTTGAAAGGTACAACTTAGTTTATACTATGCAGTCTTCTCTGACAGTGTTGATATAGCTTTCTCCCTTCTCTTTTATGTTAACATTTATCTGCGAGAAACTAGTAATGATTTCATTATATGAAAGTTACATAATTAAAAATCAAAAAACAAAGGAAGGAATGAGAACCCTTCGAACCAAAAATGCATTTAGTCCTACATTTCCTACATTTCTTACATTTCTTTCTACATTTATCCTAAATTTCTATAATCCTACATTTCTTCTCGGATATCTCGAAATTCAAATCATTAAAATTAGCAAACATTTGAAAACATTATCAAGCCTTGTGATGATATCGAAAGCAAGGAGATCGAATTTAGAAGTAGATATTGATAAAGTTAAGGACCATTTTGCAGCCCATCGACGGCCTAGCTATATATATAGGTTTAGACGATGGAAAAAGAGTGGCTTTTGTCATTTCCAGGTATATTGTCGGAGATTTCAAGAAGTTTAGAAATTTTAATTTTACACCCATTAGAATTTGCAACCAGTTATGGCATTTTAAAAAGGAGAAGACTGGGAACATTTGATCATAGTTTTATAATAAAAAAAAAAAAAAAAATACCCATTGTTTTAAAGCGATAAATGCTTGGTGAACGCACAACAGTTCCATCCGTTTTGCGCACATTTATTTTAATATAATAAGTGGTTCCACTTTTAAGTGCATTTACAGATACAGAGTTTTCGCTTGAATAAAGGTATTTCCATTGTGATTCTGGCAGATCCTTATCTTCAGTTAAATAAACATCATAACCGAACACTTCGTTTATAGCGATAATTCTTCATATACAAAAATTTAAACATTCGTTATTTTCATCAATTTCCAAATAATAAAAAAAAAGAAAACACTTTTATTTTCGGACTTAGATGTAAATATGAGGCGCGATAAAGGGTCTAAAAAATATGGTGAATTAGTTGAAACAAGGTTTTAAAAACAACATTTATTTCAATATTCGTTTTGAAATGAAAATTTTTCCCGAATTTTTCCCAGAAAAATCCGAAATAATGTAGAATATTTAGAAATTCAGTAGTTTTTTGGATTATTTCTCCATTACGATTATTATAACTTTTGAAGAACCAAAAAAAATCAAAAATTTAAATGTTCAAAAAATGCTCAACAAAAACTCAAAATTCAAAATTTAAAAATTTAGCACCGAAAGTAATTTCTTAGAAATATTAATCACTGGAATATGTTACCTGGTGATATTTTTTTAGTTCGTCTCTAAGGAAAACTTTTTTCAAAGGGAAACTTAACAGCATACGACATTTTTTAAAAACACGTCGAAAATCGAATGTTTGTGCTTAGAGAATCGAATATTTGTAGATTTTTTATGTATAAGGTTCTTACTCTAATTATATACGGTGACAATAATTTGAAACTGTAGTTTATACAAGTTCATCCAAGTATGAAACATTCTTTCGTCCACATTTACAAAAATTTTTAAAGAAATATTTCCTACTCTATACAGTTTCTGAATCTTCAAGTAATAAATCTAAGCTAAAATCTTACAATCTTGATTCACCAGCAAATAGAATATTTCCGTGGGTTATTGGCTTCATTTCAATACTAGAGTTATACTTCTCTTATTCAGGGAGCTATACATCAGAAATCCGGATAATACTGGAGACTCATTTATATCAAATTTAAAATTAACCTTGCCTGACAAACCAGCCAAGCAAACCTAACTAGAAATAATGGAAGCTTATAGAAAGAAAATCTTATAAAATTTACTTATTCTATTTTATTCGCATAATTTATATTTTTCTATGCTCATTATTCATCTTGAATTTCAGCACGGAAAATAATGGGTTGGAGCTGGAGTTCATAAAGTCATCGTACAAAAGAATTCCCACAAAGAATTTTCTTATCTTAATTCTTCTTAAAAATATTTTATACTGGAATAAGTTACCAGGTGATATTTACTGGGTGATGTTGCCTCGTGATATTTTTTTATTTCGTCTCTATCTCAAACATTTTTTAAAATCATGCCCAAAGCTCATTGCAAATGCTGGTAACATTTTTCAAATTGCCAATGACAGTTTTATCTATTTTTCGATAATATGATTTGTTGTAATATTCTATTTTTTTTACAGAATTTGGCTATATTTTCTGCATGGTTCTTATGAATATTACACTGTTTAGATCTTAAATACAATAAACTGAAATGTAGTTAAAATGCATTACTCAGTGCATGCGCAAGCAGCAACAATAGGGGGCCATGTGGCAACAAACTAGTGGACAATATAAAAAAAAATAGCGAAAACACCCTAGAACATTTTCCCTCCCTATCCAATTTTACTGTTGTTCTTGTTGATTTAATTGCATTTATTTTGAAAAATTTTATAACATACGACGGTTCTAATACCCAATGTAATCGCACAGAATCCATTTCATTTGTGTAGATAACATCAACTTTGTTGATCGGATTCATTAGGACTAAAAAATTCAAATTACGTGCAAAATTTCTGGAAAAAATCTATTAATATAAATAATTTAATGATTTGTAAGTATAATCTATATAATATAAAAATATATTTGGTCATTTAATAATTTCATCGCAGCTAAATGGCCTAAAAAAAACCCCATTTGAAAAAATAATTTAATAAATTAGTAATTAATAAATTAATAACAATTAATTTAATAAATAAGCGAAAATAACCTTCGGGTGTTCGAAATTTGAAATGACCACTTTCAGTAGAAACATCACCGTGCAAAGTTGTTTTTATCTTTAATAAATATTCTGTGCCACTGAAAAATTCATTATTTAAGAAGAAGTCATTAATCTGCACATATTCTACATCATAAAACTATAAAAGAAATAAGATAGGTTAGTTTAAGACCTTTTCAAATTCTTTAAGGTTGCTGATGGAATTTGTCCAATAAATTGCAATTTTTGCCAATTATTATCATTCATTTCCTTATATTCGACATCATAAGCTGCAAAGTGCAATCAATAAGGTCTTCCATGAATTTTTAATCAATATTGTAACCAGTTTCTGTGCATAGTGAACTTACTAAAATTACTAAATTTCTAAAATTTTTGCTTAAAATGTTGAATCAGTAGCTGCATTATCTGACATATTGTTGAATCAGTTTATAAGGTTCTCGTGCATTTGGTTTTAACGTTTTATCAAGAAGGTACGAGAAAAAATATAAATCTAAAACCTGTTTAGGACAAAGCAAAAATGATTTCCTGCATGATAATTGACAGTTGCATATTGAAGAAAAAGAATATGTCATATAAAAATTTTAACAGTGGAATTATTTACATTTAATTACTTACATTTAATTTTTCGTTGGATGTGAGGTGGCACATCCCAGGTGAGATTGACAATTCCTTGTCCACTGCTTTGGAAGTGACTACTGATAACAAGATTGCCCACCTCAAAATATTCATCATCTGCAACAGCATTTATCAGCATTTTTCCCCAAATATAATGAAGTAGTCGAGCCAATTAATTATATTTGTTTCATATTATTATTTTTTTAGTAATTATGAGCTAAGTAAAACTTTAGCTTGTTTAATTTCCTACTGATTGGTTTTCTATTTGCTAAAATTTAATGAAAATATAATAGAATAAAATATTGCTAAAAACCTTTAGGCATAGTTATTTCGACAATAGCTGCAGTATCGGACATTTGTTCAGGACTGAGAGCTGTTCGAATTGTCATTTCGTAATGTTCGCCCGGTTTTAAATTGCCTAGAGCAAAATTATTCGCAACAACTTTGATCTGCAAATTCCGATATGAGTAAAACTGCATTTGATTTTACAAGAGAAAGAACACTAAAGTATTTAAGAAAACAACGGCGTTTATCGAATATAATGATTTAAACATTAATGATCTGGGTTCAAATTGATTTAAATTTATAAACATTGGCTGATATGAGGAAACAAATAAATATATATATATATATGTGAATTATTAAATGATATATAAATAATCTTGAAAGCAACGAATGCAGATTTGGTCCATTCTTGTCACTTGATGGAAAATTGCCATTAAAACTGAAATTCGGCTAACGGAGATCCACCCGCACTTACCCTATATATTACCAAGAGACTCTTAAGCTAAAGAGACTTATTATCTAGAAGCCAGCAAAACCAGCAAACTTAGAATTTTATTTAATTTTAGAATTATTACCAGAATTACAAAATAAAACACTGTAGAATTTAGTTCTTTTTGAAAAAGAAGAAATGTGAAAAGGCTTAAGGAATGTTTTTAAAGTTTAAATTATTTTTACAGCCAATTAATCGCCGATTTTTTCTATATTCTATTCGAATTTCTTGGAAGCAATATTAAGGTGAATTTCACGCGAAAAATTTTCACAAATTTAAAATTTTTATATGATTTTTATGAGAAGTTGCTTTTATGAGACTTCCGAATTTCTCAAAAATTCAAAATCGTAAGAAGGGTAAAAAATTCATTTTATGTAATATTCGAAATTATTATATATCATCAAATAGCTTATAGAAAAACTTAAGAATTTTGATTTCGATTTTGATTTTGATTTTGATTTCGCGATTACAAAAATTGTTCGAAAGTACCTTTAGGAAAAGGACGTTGAATAAGGATAAAAATTTATCCAAATATGTAAACAAAGCTTAAAAAATACTTAAATTCTAATTCTAAGATATTCAATCCTTTATATATAAATCTTATACAATTTTATTGCCTCAATGTCGCTCTTATTTTAATACTAAATTATCAATTAAAAGGTCTGAACTTGCGAAATATTGAGAGCGGTCAGCCAACTGTCAATTGCAAACTCAGTGTAACATTCTTTTAATTTCAAAAGTGCAGACGATTGCTTTCCTTCAACTTTTATCATATTTCGAAATTCAGCAAATTATCAGACAAAAGCAAATATTTTATATTAATTTAAATATTAGAAAAATAGGAAAATTCTCAACAACCTGTCGTTGGAAAAGTGGTTCACCAGTCTTCGATGTTAATTGCTTCACATTTATAATATAATGCAATCCTGAAAACAGTTTTAGAATTTTCACGAAAATCTAGGAAATTTTCGGATTTAACTTTTGAAATCTTCAATGTTTAATACATCTACTTGATTTCTCCTTTAGCTATAGAAGACTCTCAATTCATAAAAATAATTTCTTTATAACCTTCAACATTCGGATTGTTTGGAGTCCATTCAAGGCGAACACTTGATGGACTCAAGATAATAGCAGTGAAATCAAGTGGTGGCAAAAATCCATTGTCATCAACACTTAAATTATCAACAAGCAGCCTTCTCGATACTGATATGATCAATGTTTGAGACCAATCTTCAATTACATGGCCTCCTCTTTCAGCTCTCACCTTTAAATTATTTTCCATTAAATTTTAAGAAATGTTTCATTTATATGTTTCATTTTCATTTATATAAAAAAGACAGTTAGCAGATAAAACAGTTCAGTAGATTATTTCTTTTCCAAATAATTCTGAATCATTGAAATATTCTGGTAAAAATTTATTATTTCATGCAATAAACGCAATATTTACAACAGTATTTTCTGCATTTCTATCGCCAAATAATCTTTTGTGAAAAATTTCTAGCGATACTACCAAGCTGAATTAGCCTATCCAAAAACGCTTATTGTTTACTTACTTATTGCTAATCTTTGAAAATTTCTTTTTATATCTCAGTATTTATATATTTGAAAAATATTCTATTATGTATCAAGAAAATGATGAATAAATAAAACAAAAATTAGAACTTATTAAAAATTAGTGAAATGGTTGAAAGGTATGCATATTCGACTAAAGCAATCATAGATCCGAATCCTACTTCTTGATGAGAGATAGAATTGGACTGGCAAAGAGATTTCAATCTAACAGCCCATAAAGTCAGGCATCAATAATGATAAAATAACGAAAATTGCTAAATAATGATGAATTACAACATTAAATTAAATACTACCACTACCACTAATTTCGCTATATATTGAGATTTTTAGGTGGAAATGCAATTAAAGGTTCAAAAAGGTTCAAAGGTTCACTTGAGCATGAATTTCATCTCCATGTCTCAAATTAGGCAAGTCGAGGCGAAGATGATTCAAGTTCGTGCGAGATTGCTTCCAATGCGAATCGGCATCTGGTCTATTAACAATCTGATATCGAACTGTGTAACTAACGCCTGCAAAATATTGTGGATAAATGCCTAAGAAATAATATTTTAAGGCGTATTTAATAGAAAAAATCTAGGATTTTTTAAATTTGAGGTTAATTTTAGAAATTCAATTAAAAATTAGTGAATCATAAAAACGAGCCCTGAGGATTTCCGTCAAATATCCAGTCAATAAAGATTGATTTGGATCGATTATCATAACGCGCAGCCAGATTTTTAATACTTGGAACCGGCAATGCAAAACCACAATTAGAATTATACAAATATATAAGATAGATCAGGGGCTTCAAAAATTTAAGACTCATTGTTTAAAGATCTTCATATGAATTAAAATCTAATAACAGCTGTTATGATCAAGTTCCCTATTCAATTGAATTTTTTTCATTATCTGGCTGCTCAGCCTCTTTAATGTTTTACTCTTCCGTAAGTGCCACAATGACTTAAAATCATTATAAAATCGTTATTTTGTGAGTTATGAATCATTATCCTTAAGATCGCCTCATTGGAACCACATCTACTGATAATGGCATAATGGTTCAGTGATAAATTTTTCATCGTTTATTAGTAATGCAGAAAATATGAGAAACATTTTTTAGAAAATTTTTGGAAAATTAATTTGAAAATTGCCAATTTTTGAACAATAAAACATTAAATGAATTTAAGAAACATAAATTTATTTATTCATATGCAAAGAATAACTATATGAAAATGAACAATTGTAGTCCTCTAAATCTTTTTCTCCTAACAGCACTGTTTTTGATTATGCTCCACTGACTCCATTAGCTATTGAAGAAAGGTCTCTTGATCAGAAAGTATTTACAATATTTAGAAATAATACATTCTGCTATTCTATCCTTATATGGTATTTCATTTATATCTTTACGTCCTTATGTCTTTTTATATGGCAACTTTATAGAAATTAGCGTTATTGCAATAATTTAGAAAAGTTCAGCTGCAAACACCATAGTAAAATAAAATAATATATTTTAATACTATATACAATAATAGGTCGAAACGACTGAAAAATAGGGAATGACCCAGCGCTATTAATAAACATGGTCAAACTGTGACCTCAACAAATCATGGCGAATACAAAATGGCCTTTCAATAATAAAGTTGCCAATAAGTGCTTCTGTTTCTCGTTACATTTTTTCACCAATTTTAAATTTGATTTAAATTTTATTAAATTTTATTATTTGCAAACGATAAAGTTTATCAGCCTTGGCTATTGATAATGTTGAAAGTTGAGCGGTCCGCAAAATTAATATTGCAACGATCGATAAAATCGTTATATCATTAAAGTATTCAGGTTTTTCAGCTGATCAACTCGCCAAAGCCATTTTTTTCGATTCTCAGAGAATATATTAGCTTAAACATCTTTTGAATCTTATTTTCCATCAAACAGCAGGAATTAAATTTATGATGAATGATTTTTTTTAACCAATAAAAAGATTTCATAAAATATATATATTAAATAATTAAATTTTATGTAATATTATATTTTCTTTTTTTTTCATTAACATTAATATGGCATTTCTCTCAAGGGTATGTTTAGATTTAAGCAATAATTAGGCTTGAAGCTATTGAAATTTTCAAGAATTCACAAGAATTTTTGGGATATCAATTAAAACTTATTAACAGAAAATTGAAAATTACTTTTTTGTGATGTTCAATCAAAAGATCAGCCAGTCAGTTAGAAGATTTAAAAATAATTTTTTTAAGTGAAAATTTATTACCTTAAAATTTATGTCTTATGAATGGGATTATTGGAGATAATAACAACAGAATGAAAAATCTTATAAGATGCATTCAAATTAGTCTTTTAATTAAATTTAATAGGCATCAATTTGATACAATAATTTGATAAGATACAAATATAAAATTATGTCGTCTTCTCTTTAAGCGAATCTCCTTAGAAGAAAGTTAAGAAAAATTATTAATAATGGCGTTTTACGGCTATTTTTAATATGAACATATAATGGCTTTAAAGCCTATTTCGGAAAAAGAAGATGGCAAAATTAATTTTAAGAAATTAAATAATTTTTGTTTTGAATATATCCTATTTTTCATCCACATTACACTGAAATTTATTGGATTGAAATTTACATTTCTGAATGGTTTTGATAATTTTTATGCAATTAATTCTTCTTCTAACAGCTCTACTATTACTGGTTTGGCTGGCTTCGTCTCAAGCGTAAGGGGTCTCCAAACTGTTCATTCCGATGTCATCACTGATGGTTTCGCTAAATGGCGAAAATAGTTGCAAATATGAGCAAATCATCCGCATCGCACCTGCTACGCTTCTCATCGCCGGCGAGAGCATTAGGAAAATAATACAAAAGAGTTAAAAAAGATATTAGAAAATATCACGGAATAGTAGAGTACCTCATAAATGAGAAGTACAATATAGCTTTCATTATGAGAGAATTAAGAACCATAAATCTTCTTTCCTCCCATCTCAAATCGAATATAAATTCTCAGGGCACCATTTTCGGCTATTTTGGGGTTTGTTGTGGGAGACAGAGAGGCTGGAAGTGGGAGAGAGATGTGGAAAATGTATTGGTGTTCGGAGAAGCATTTGATAGAGAATTCTTGAAATAGATGCCATTGTTATCCTTGTTCTTGCGTAGTGTTACTGAGGGTCTCATTCATCTCTTAAAAATTTGCCATTCCGGAATTTGACATGCCGCACTAGTTTATAGGATTTGACAATGTTCTAGATTTTTTTGCTTCGCATATATATTAAAAGGCATTACACAAGTTTGAGGGTTCGCAACAAGATAATTAAGAAGAGAACGCTGGTCGCAGAATTTATAATATTGTCGAGAAATAAAAGTCCAACGCGGCAGGTAATTTATTAAAACTATACAAAAAATTATATAGAAAACTTTATAGAAAACGAAAACTAAAACTATGCAGAAAAAGACAGTGAGACGAATTCCCGAAGAAATTTTATAAAGCTAGATATCGGAAGTGGGAATCGCCGTGCTTCCAACAAAATTTCGTATTGCCAAGTTTTCTGTACAGATGGCAATGGAAACCACTCCTTTTTCCACCGCATAAATCCATATATCGCTTATCCTTTATACGTCCAAAATTTTTCAGATTTGCATCAGTTCAGGTTTTGATTGGCCAACCTCATATGACGCATCCATCACAGAGATTAGCAAGTGATGAAATAACTCTTATGATGGGTGGTGAAGAACGTGGCCTAACCAGCGAAGGTGATTTGTGATAGTGCTGTTAATGAAAGTGGTATTTGAGCGAAGGTGGATGCGATTATATAAGATTTTCCACTCGACAAAAATGTGCCTTAGACATGAGTGGTCGAGTGGTCAAGCAGATAACTTATTAATATCCCTACTCATTGGCCACGTCTCGCAGCCATATAGGAAGAGCGACTGAATCGCGGCTAAATAGACGTGGCTTTCGTTTTTATGGTGATTTCGCGACGACTCTACAAAGATTTCCGAAAGAACGCATTTACATTATCACTATTATCAATGCTGTAAACCTCCCTCTTTTGCCTGGCCATTTTGGGTTACATTGGATTCAAGATATTGAAATCGGGCATTTCTTCAATCAATAAACCGACGAAAATAAATATTTTATCAACCTCTTGACGAAGAGGTAAATATATCATACGAAAAGATTTTCATTTCATTTACATTGACTCCGGGTCCAGTTCTCGCTGCAGTTGCTGATATGAATATTTGGATATCGCAACTCTTAGCAAAAAGGACTACATCATCGTATTCAAGGTTTGTGATACGATGGTCTGGACTAATCTATACATCTCTTGATTGCCGGCAAGTATTGTCCATTATCCAGTCTAATCACATAGCTGTATATTTTAGGAGAAAGGACGCAGCCTTGATGGTCATCAATTCTTATTTCGAAGGAGTTAGTTCCTCACACACAGGTTTATGCTGATATACGCTGATAAAATACCTTTACTGACTCCTTGATAATTGTCGCAATATGTCCTGTCATCCTTCTTCAGAATTGTTAGCAGAATTGTTTCGCTCCAGTCATCTGGTACTATTTCTTTCTTCCATACCAGAGAATGCATTTGTTAAAGATATATTATGAAAGATGATGGACAACAAGAGGATTTGAAGAATTCAGCTGCAGAAGAATTTTTTAATTTTTCGTTAAATCCTCATTTTCCATGGCTTCTTTTTTCTTATGTGAATTCATTTCGATTTCATCCATATATTAAAATGCTTTAATGAATCTTCTCTATAGTCCTAAATGTTTTTTGAAAGATATTAAAATCCATTTCGACTCTATTTATAATAAGGTAGCTGCGACTCTTAAACTGCTGCATTCTTTCATTTCATATAAAAATAAAATATTATAGAAAATAATACAAATTTTTTAAATAATCTGAATTTGAATTATTTCTAACAATCTGCTGTAGGGAAATTTGGCAGCCTTATATTTGGCAATTATGATTTAAACAAAAAACGGATTTGCAATGGAACTTAAATATAATTTGGTCTAATCAATCATTGATTATCGTTTAAGAGAATTTATGCTAAGGTAGCTTCAAAGATTGCTCCAGTTTTGAAAAGGTTCGGAAATTCACCTTCATAGAGAAATCATTCATCCATTCATTTCATAATGATATTAACTGCATTATTTTTCATTTTTCGAAGGCAGATGTCCAGAAATTCAACTTTAAATTCGAAATTTGTACTTGAATTAGTGAACGGAATTCCTTTTTTTTCATTTTTCTTTTAACTTGTTTTCTATTTGGAGTTCATTGATTCAGCATTCCATTATGTCACTTCGACTGAGATTAAGCATGGAGACGATTATCGTCACTGAATATTATAAAATGAGATTTTGTCCTCTCGTCCTTTCGCTTGGGGGTAAAAGTGAAGATGTTCCTCAGCACTCTTATAAATCCTTTTTTAAAAATATTTTAATGAATACTGTGGTGTGAATATCTTTCAAAAAGGCTTTATTTATAGAACAAAATTTTGCTCAATAAATGTTTCA